TTTTTAATTCGAATTTCAAACCTAACGGTTGTCCATATTTGATCAAATAATACATTTTTAAACTCAACGGTTGGGTTTGACCGTTAGCATTTTTTAGTGTAAAACGTTTTTTGGGGGGAGATGGAAATATTTGTGGATTTTAGAGGTTCTTCATATAGAACTATCAATGCGAATAAATAACCTTAATATTTTTAGAGTGATACTGTTTGCTAATTGCTGTATTCGTAGTCCAAATTTCTAATCATTCCCCCTTCTTCTTTTGGCCACAGGTGATGTTTTCATTCTGGTGTTCAGTCTGGACAACCGTGAGTCTTTCCACGAGGTGCAGCGGCTCAAACAGCAGATCTACGAGACCAAATCCTGCCTTAAAAACAAGACCAAAGAGAACGTGGATGTGCCTCTGGTGATCTGCGGGAACAAGGGCGACCGCGAGTTTTACCGCGAGGTTCAACGCGACGAGATCGAGCAACTGATCGCAGGGGACGAGCAATGCGCGTACTTCGAGATCTCCGCCAAGAGGAACACGAACGTCGACCAGATGTTTCAGAGACTCTTTGCTCTCGCAAAACTACCCAACGAGATGAGCCCGGACCTCCATCGCAAGGTTTCCGTGCAGTACTGTGACATTCTCCACAAAAAGTCTTTTAGAAGCAAGAAGGTGAAGGACGGAGACGCGTACGGGATCGTTGCGCCTTTTGCGCGCCGCCCGAGCGTCCACAGTGACTTAATGTACATTAAAGAGAAGACGATAGGAGGCGGACAGACCAAAGACAAAGAAAGATGCAGTATTAGCTAAAACCGAGCCGTTTATAGAACTGCTACGGTTATTATTAGAAGCACACGGTTGTTGTGCCAATCCCGGTGACTCCGAAAGAGTCGCGGTCGAACCGGTACAAGTCATCGGCTGCTGCAGCTCTCACCTCGCGACGTGGACGCGCATGTAATCTCGCGAGATCTCCTGTACAGAATAGCGACTTTGTTCTGTTCAGTCTGAGCGCTCTGTGATGTGGCTTGCAAGTATCAACTCCATGCTTAAAAATGTGCTTTGTTTGAAACATTTGCCTTTTTTGGGTGCTGAACGGAGTTGCAATGTCAGCTGTTTACTTTTTTTTGTTTTTTTGGAGAAAGAAATCAACTTGAATGTTTTATTGCATTTTGAACAATTTTTTTTATTGTCAATGAATGTATATTTATTCTTCTATGTCATTGTTGAATTGAACACATTGGAAAACTTGAAATAAAAAACTTTGTCAAGAATATGCATGTTTCCGAAGCTTTTATCCATGTTCTTACAGAATTTCTTTAATTCTCTGGGTGCTGTTCAGTCACTTGTTTTGACTGATATTATTATTATTATTATTTAAGAATAGTTTTGGATTTGACACTTGCTGTATGAACACACAAAAATCATGGACATGATTCAAAAAGGTTAAGAGTTCTTTAAATAGTCTCGCTTATATTTTTCAGTAAAAAAAAAAAACATGGTAGATTAACTTAACTTAGTGGAAATACAAACTATTAAATATTATTGAACTAAAATATAGTACAATCATTTCATATAAATATTCCAGATATATTTAAAATGTAATCTGAAGGGGAAAAATCTAAGACGCACAAACTGTTGACAATTGTTGTGCTCACTCCATGCCAGCAAAAACGACTTGAAAATGATCTATTATGGCTTGAGTCAGAAAAATATGGTTTCATCTATCTTGCTTAAAGCCATCAAGTCTAAATATTCCAGTTACATTCTTAAAAGGTGCAGGATAACCCCAAAATACATTCTATGACACTCAAATAATCATTATTTGTATGCAAACAAACACAACTAGTAATTAATTAATCCATTATGGCTTGGAATGAGGCTCTAAAATTGTATGTGAGTATATTTAAAATATATTTCTAAACTTGCTCACCTTAAGTATAAATATTCCAGATAAATAAGACAATACCTTCTAGGAAGCTCAAAATATTGACATGTGTATGTATGTTGTGCACACACTTGTTACCAAGAAAATGAACTGATGTGTTATGGCTTGGAATGAGGCCTCAATATGAGCACTTTGATTTTACAGTATACAAGGACTTATGAGTCACTACATGGGTTAAGGTTAGTTACTTTGTACCTAGCTATTACCCACTAATTATAACTATAATAAATATATAATATGTACATAGGGAACATGATTGTAAAATAAAGTGCTAAAACGATTTAATATACTTGCTGCAAGTCTGTTGATGATATATTCTCTAAAAATAACCTGAAAACACCTAGGATGCTTCAAACTGTGTTTTGTTGACTTACAGAGCAAAATTGCTTGTCGTTTCACTCATTTAAATGGTTTAAAGCAGACGTCAATATTGTCTCAGCTCAAGTAAATATGATAAATGCAACTGAAAACCTCTACTAAAGAAGTGATTGAATTTAATGCACAAACTATGACAAAGGTAAAGAATACAGCAGCAATTCACTGAAACTAAACATGATGTTGCAAATGCTATGCCCCAAAAAAATAAAATATATGTACAAATAGCCTAAGTAATTGAATCTGGATCAGTGTGGCCTCTATCGGTGTAAAGAAATGTTCATGTTTTCTCTCACGAAGGTTTGGGGATGTCAAACATGCACAGGCTCTTGTATTTCTGCAGAAGCTGGTTCTTGGTCTGGACCTGCTCTCTGAGGGTCTGGAGTTTGTTCTCCTGAAGCGAAGGACTCATATCGATCCCCGGCATGCCAGAAATCTGCTCCCGAGCCTCCTGGATCTTCGTCTTCAGTTTGTTCAGCTCTTGATGCACTTCTGGACTGTCCTTGTCCATGCTAATGAGAGACGAATGCAGACAGGCCGTTAAAGGGTCAATTCACCCAAAAGTTACATCTTTGTTCCAAAACTGTATTAATTTCCTTCTTCTGTTGAACATAAAAGACGACATTTTGAAGAATATGTGCAAGTAAACATTTGATGGACCCCATTGACTACCATAGTACGAAAAAAAAACACTATGGAAGTCCTTTACAAACGTTAGTAATTGATGACAGACTTTTCCTTTTTGGCCGAACTTTCCCTTTAATGCTGAGCAACATTAAACACATAAGATGCTGTTCTTTACAGAGTCTCGATAGCAACACGAACATACCGAGATATTCCTGAAATTTAACGATAATAAACGCATTCTGTTCCTTGAAACATAAAATATGAGAATATTTACTTCTCACCATTTAATAACGTCGTGAATAATGGGCAAAAAGGAATAATCTTCCGCCTCCTCCACAACCTGTACCGGAGTCGCCATGTTTGTTTCACGGAGGCATTCGACGTCATCAACGCGCGACGGCGCCTCTGCATAAACAACGTCACGACGGCTCTGTTTTAATCTATTAAATAACATATCTCATTATTCTGTCAATATTATATTATGTTATAATGTTCTACTAAGCTTTGTTAAAACTGGGTGCTTTAAATGTTTAGATAAGTGTAACAAAACAAAAACAAAGAGTGGAAACAAAGTAGTAACTATAACATAATGAAAGCTAAATATTTTCCAAATTATATTTTACACATTTATAATATAATATAATTTTTGTCCATATTCTTTTTACAGTATGGTCCAGACTGCTATAGAAAGAAACAGTAATCTCTCATTATCCAAGATGTTTTTGTTGTTATTGTCTTGTCTATAGTGATCTGATGAGTAGGGAGATGCGCATAATGTACGTTCCAGGAAACCTAATATTGATAAATGTTAATTATTTGCCCTCTGTTAACCAGAGGTGTGGGCTAGTGGTAAAAAAGAGGTGGGTAAACTATAAATTCTGGTGGACCAACGTGGTCACCAGGTGGGCCACTGCCTACCGGTGTAGCCATGTATGTCTCCTGATGACATTGCTATTTAGGGAGGGCTCGACATTAAGCCTTTTCATACGTAAATCCACTTGTCCGAGTAAAAAGGTCGCCGTCCGGATTTTTTATTTTTATTTTGTGTGCGTTTAATTTATTCTGAAGCAATATTCTCATCAGTGTTCAATCAGCTTTGATATTTAAATCACCATATTGTAATATCTGCACCTTTAAAGGGCATCCCTCCCCCAATATTGCTAAATGTATGCTTCATCTTTCATTTTAAATTCCTAAATTTGATCAATAAATTCAATTATTTCGAATAATAAGACACTACAGGGCTGTTACCCTAGGGCTGATCAAATTAAATCATTTACACTGAAAATTACAATTGCATGTTGTGAAATTGATTTAAATTTACATATAAGAAACGTTGGAAAGAATGTTAACATTTAACACTAAACCGCCAGTGGGTGGCGGCAGGCGACCGTCTTAATGAGTGAGTCATTGATTGATTCATTCAAACGATTTGTTCAAACGGCTGATTCATTCATTAATGAAAACAGGTTGAGTGTTCCTGTGTCATGCGCCGTGGTTCTGCCGTGGTTCTTTTTGTTTGGAACAATTTTCGCTGCTGAAACAGAACAAAAACAGCCAATATTACATCTAAAATGTAAGTGATTTAATTTTAACTGTTTATTGAACTGTTGTAGGAAATCGATGTAACATTTTGAATCGTGATGGTGTTCAGGAAAAATAAATGAGGTTGCTTAGCAACATATGTTAAAAATATAAAAAAAAACCTCCACATTTAGATTTTTATGGGCAGTATGTTGTTAACTGAGAGTGTGTGTGTTGCGCTCATTGTGTAGATTTGTGCTCAAGAGGCTGCGCGAGCGTCAACAGTGCAACCTTACCATAATAGTCAACAACAATGACAGTAATGCAGCGCAAAATGAAAGAGTTTGTCTTAGGTTTAACAAACTATGAAATTAATAATGAACAATTTGAAACTAAAACGACATAAGCATAATTTAAAATGTCTTAGGAAGTTACTACAGGATATTTAGAGGTGGATAAATGCACTTTGGCTATTTCCGAATATTGGGAGGAGCGTAAACGGCGTTGCTTCTACCCTTTTGTTCTGATACATAGTCACACTATAATAATTCCTGAACCACATTCCTCCTGTAGATTACAAATATTTGCTTTGACATACCTGTAATATTGATTTTCATGATCTCTGTCTCAGAAATGAGCATTATGAAAAAGTTAATAACACACCACCTTTGTCTGATCGCGTGCATATTCTTATGCGGCTGACCTGTGTCTGTAGCCTATGTTTGCCATTGCTTTATAAATGTTTGGTTTTTCATATCAGTTTCTCAAGGGTTCATTCTCAAACATTCACAGTGTTGTGCATCGACCAGCATGTGATGGTTCTGCTTGAACACATGCACTTCTATGAATATGCATGCATGATGATTAATGTTCTAATACACAAGTTGACATCTAGAGACATTTTACATTTGCTTTGTTAAACATAAAATAACATTTAATGAAAATACAAATATATGGACTGCGTACAAATCTACATATTGTATCACTTTTATAACTTAAACGTTCGTGGATTTCTCGTGCTTAGTTTGGACAAACACACAATAAAGTATTTTGCTAGTATTTCTGTTTGCAGGCCTTGTTCATTATCTTGCTTATCCCTAAAGACGACAAACATGTTTTTCTTTGTTATGTAGCTTGAGTCAGACAAGTATGTCTATTTTGCTCTAATCAAAATAAATGTATTAATAGAACAATCACTTTGGTCAAATGAAAATATGTTATAGTGATTAATGTAAACACAATTTTCTAAAATTAGAATTTATTTTCTTGAGTCTTGAGTGTTTGCATTACACAGAATAGTTAGTTGTGATTGTGTGCAACTGTGAGTGATTCCAGGAATAAAAACAACAGCACACAATACATTTCCAACATGAATTCAAATCAAACAGCAGTTTCCAAATTGTGTGTGTGTGTGTGTGTGAGAGAGAGAGAGTGTGTGTGAGTGTGCGTCTGTGAAAGTGTGTGTGTGTGCACATCCTGTCAGGTCACAGTAAGGTGTTGCTTTATTTGTTGATCTCTGATATTCTAGAACAGTTTGATCGTTTTTCCTGACAGTTCCCAAACCCTCTGAGAAGCACGTGGTCCATCAGTTATTACTCATTAATCACATCTCCTCCATTATTCCTCACACACTGCCGGTACACACACGGGTGGTCATTAACAGGATGTTTTGATGGAAGCACATTGTTTGCCAATCACATTTCCTCATTGCAATATTCTGTCTGATCCATTCTGCCGAGGCGCACAATCAATATTTCAGTCTGTTTGCTTGTCCAGCCTTGAGAAGATGAAGTCATGCTACTGTAGGATGATCAATCAAGCATATCACATGCACACGTGTGGTTTAGAGGCCAGTTGGAGTGTGTTTTTCACTCAAAGTCAATGTGGCCAATATGAAGCTTTTATTTTGTAAAATCACTAGTTAATCTCTTAAAGCATGTATTTATTGAGCTGCAAACCTGTTTAAACTTTTGTTTAGAAATCATTTTTTATAGAGATTGAAGGGTTCATAGTATTTTATGGCAGGGTTATTATAGTTAACTAAAACTAAAGGCATAAAAAAAAAACATTTTTGTTAATTTAAATACAATCAAAAATACAATCTTATTTTATTTTAACTATAAAAACAAAAACTGAAATAAATAAAAAAAACATTTTAATAAAAATAATAATAATTTTAAAAAATCAAAAGCATACAACAAATAACTAAAACTTTGAGTAAAATTAAGCTGGAAAATATAATGATTAATCGCATCCAAAACAAAAGTTGTGCATGTGTGCATGTATATATTTAAGAAATATTTGCATGCATATATTTAGACATAATTTATATTAAATATAAATATTAATATTTTATATATTAATAAAAAAAAATCAAAAATATATACATGCATGTGAGTGAATTTTTATATTCAAAATAATTATACACACTGCACACATATAGGCCTATATTATGTAAACACAAACTTTGGATGCGATTAATTGCGATTAATCGTTGCCCAGCCCATGATCTCAATTATACCAAACTAGCACAGCTCTGCATAGCAATATGCATAGAAAATGAAGGAAAAGTGGAAATAATATTTTTGTGGTAATCAACATAATGCCATAAATGCTGCAACAGAACTCAAAACTGAACCCAGAATAGTTTAACAGTAAAAGTTTCAATGAGAATCGTTGTGTTCAAAGTCAAACTGAAGTTCAAGTTCATGTCGAGCGCATGAAAGGTGCCGAGACGATCTGTCCTGTCCTGATCTCGTCCTTCTCTTTGTAAGAGTTCAGATTTCCAGAGAGAGAGAGAGAGAGAGAGAGAGAGAGAGAGAGACTCTGTGCTCTTTCCGTTGAATCCACGACAAACATTTATTGGAATTTTTTGTCTTGCAGTCGATAGAAACCTTGAGGAAAGAATTCAGTTTATTGGAAAATGACTGTTATGCAATACAAATTGAATTCTAATGGTGTTAATAATTTAGTGCAATATGTGCATTGCCAAAAATGTGACCCCACGTGTCTACTCTCATCTGTTCTGCTATTTTCATGGCTATTATCCTCCGGCTTCTTAAAGGAGTAGTTCACTTTAAAAAAAACAAACTTTTGCTGATAATTTACTCACTAATTGTCCATGTCTTTCTTTCTTCAGTCGAAAAGAAATTAAGGTTTTTGATAAAAACATTCCAGGATTTTCTCCATATAATGGACTTCAATGGGGTCCAAACGGTTCAAGGTCCAAAAGACAGTTTCAGTGCAAACTACAAACTGTTCAAAGGGCTTTAAACGACTCCAGACGATGAATAAGGGTCTTATCAAGCGAAACGATCGCTCATTTAATAAAAAAATAACAAAGTTTAAGTTTTATAAACTCAAATGCTCGCCTTGCTCTGTTCTGTGATGCGCGTTCGTGACTCTCCTGTTCGAACTTATTTATCAAAATGAACAAATCTTTTTTCGAGTCATGACTCGAAGGGTCCTAGATAAGACCCTTATTCATCGTCTGGTGTCATTTGTTTGTACTGAAACTGTCTTTTGGACCTTAAACCGTTTGGACCCCATTGAAGTCCATTATATGGAGAAAATCCTGGAATGTTTTCATCAAAAACCTTAATTTCTTTTCCACTGAAGAAAGAATGACATGGACATCTTGGATGACATGGGGGCGAGTAAATTATCAGCAAAAGTTTTTTTTAAAGTGAACTACTCCTTTAAGTAATGTTCTACCTGTAGTCTCACACTCCAGTGGTTTGTAACATCCGCTTTCTGACCCTTTAGGTCCAAGAAAACTGTGCTCTAGATCATCAAAAACTACTTTTTGATATGTCAGCTAAACATAGTGAACACGTCAGTGACCATTTGTTCT